TGTCGATTTCAAACAATTTTGTATGTTATATTTTGTCTTCCTGGTGTTTAATATAAACGATGATAACCTTTTAAAAAAAATCTAAAGCAATATGTCTATAAACAGTTTTAGAATCAATAGAATAGACATTCAATGTGTATTTGGCTTGTGTCCAAATGTGTCACGTTTAAGACCGGCAAGGCGCTAATCCTACGACCTATAAACAGTCGCTTTTGAGACATCTGTTTAACAAAATTTATACCGTGTCCATATCAGAACAATTCATTGGCATATTATAAACATATTATAAATATCAGAGCCAGAACAGAAACGTACGCGTGAAATCAAACCACGCCCGAACTGGCGAAACCCGAGAAAATAAAAATATTTCAAAGCGTACAGTCATACGTTCTCGTTGCTTGATTTCTTGAATTTTCTGTTGCTATAAGAATCTGCATTTTAGCATGTTTGTATAATTTAAAAGCAAACAGAAACCAATTCAGCAAGTAGTTTGAGGTATATATGATTCTCGAAGATGAATTAGATGATTTTACAGAACGGCCACTCCTTGCAATTGAAGTGCGAAGTGCGGAAGTGGAAACATGTAATATGAGACTTTTCCATCCCCCTCTTGGGCTATCAATTTTCTATGGGTCACGTGACCAGCTCCGACCAGGGTCTTTGCTTCCCAAGAGCAAAGAGCCTGGGAACGAGGTTGGTAGTTTATTAGATATTGTGATGGTTAATGGTGTGATGACACTAGTAGTTTATTAGATCTTGTGATGGTTAATGATGTGATGACACTAGTAGTTTATTAGATATTGTGATGGTTAATGGTGTGATGACACTAGTAGTTTATTAGATATTGTGATGGTTAATGGTGTGATGACACTAGTAGTTTATTAGATATTGTGATGGTTAATGGTGTGATGACACTAGTAGTTTATTAGATCTTGTGATGGTTAATGGTGTGATGACACTAGTAGTTTATTAGATATTGTGATGGTTAATGGTGTGATGACACTAGTAGTTTATTAGATATTGTGATGGTTAATGGTGTGATGACACTAGTAGTTTATTAGATATTGTGATGGTTAATGGTGTGATGACACTAGTAGTTTATTAGATATTGTGATGGTTAATGGTGTGATGACACTAGTAGTTTATTAGATATTGTGATGGTTAATGGTGTGATGACACTAGTAGTTTATTAGATATTGTGATGGTTAATGATGTGATGACACTAGTAGTTTATTAGATATTGTGATGGTTAATGGTGTGATGACACTAGTAGTTTATTAGATATTGTGATGGTTAATGGTGTGATGACACTAGTAGTTTATTAGATATTGTGATGGTTAATGGTGTGATGACACTAGTAGTTTATTAGATCTTGTGATGGTTAATGGTGTGATGACACTGGTAGTTTATTAGATCTTGTGATGGTTAATAGTGTGATGACACTAGTAGTTTATTAGATATTGTGATGGTTAATGGTGTGATGACACTAGTAGTTTATTAGATCTTGTGATGGTTAATGGTGTGATGACACTAGTAGTTTATTAGATATTGTGATGGTTAATGGTGTGATGACACTAGTAGTTTATTAGATCTTGTGATGGTTAATGGTGTGATGACACTAGAGAGTTTATAGCATATGACGTTTAGGTCAACACGGACGTCAGATTGCCGAGGGGGGACTGGATTAAAAACTGTGATTGTGTCAGTTTGTGGTAATCTTCAACACACATGACAAAACAAAACATTTTTAAAGTTTTGTGCTTCCTTACACGAGCGCTATGATAAAAATGCCGCCAATGTTCGGGTAACGTCCGTGTTGAAATAACGTCGCTTGCTTAAGCTCACTTTAATCGTTCTACTGAATTTAGTCGTAAGCTAGAAGGATTAAAATGTTTGTTTTCGGAGTTACCGTTGTTTTATATTTTATTAAAATACTCAGTGGTTCTCATTTGGTGATCGTTGACATGATAGTTATGATGTTGTGATGATGGTAGTTGTTATTTAATTATGACGGTTATGTTATTTAATTATTTAATTATTGATGGTTATAATGATAGTACGTTACGAGAAAAACTTTTGTAACACTAAAATTAAAATAATTGATGGTAATGATGATGGTAATATTATCGCTAGTGGAGTTATGACAATGATCTCCACACATTGTGGTGCCCATATAACAGCTGATTCAATTAAGCTTGTCCTTCGAAAACCGTAAACCTTAAACTCTGAGCGCGCAAGGGATGATGGGTTTTCACCAATTAGGCCCTTAAACTCAGACAATTGCCTTTGCAGCAAGTATGTTTTCTGCCGTGAGTCTTCTATATGTCTTAGGTGTTCTTGCAAAGCCAAAGTTTATGAGTCTAAATAAGCAATAACCTATCATCCCTTGAGCGCTCAGAGTTTAAGGTTTAAGTTTTTGGAAGGACAACCTTAACTGAATTAGCTGTATATACAGTGTCTACAGTATATTCGGCTTATTCGCTACGTGAGACTACTGTAATCATACTGAAGCCTTGGTTCTTATTCAAAAATACTATGTCTTCGCGCTTGTGGTGCACTTGTTTTGCGCATGCTCCAGGACACTGCAGTACTACGTCTGATTTCACATATTATTTTGCCTGTGAAGTGTTTTATTTTGAAATATGACTATACAGTGAATGGCTAAAAATACGAAGTAGGAAAGCTTGGGATTGATAGGATTCAACTGCCTGAAAACAGCAGAACGTCGACGTTTCGAGCGAAGGCCCTTCGTCAATATATAAGTTAGAACAGTTTCCGATACTGTAACGAACTTCTGTTATTACTTCGTTTAGAAAATCAGGGAAGTTGAACGCGACTGGAATAACACAAGATGTCCAACGTATAACTCTGACAACTGAAGAAGAAACTGAAATGGACGTTACTGAAACGTTGCAATCTGTTGAATCTCCTGGTATTATTTACTTTGTTTATGAATGACAGTATTTCCTGAAATTCTGATCTCGAAAGTTTTAATCTGTGGGAAATATTTTGTTGTAGAAGATCAACCAGAGCAGAACGAAGCTGAAGAACTGTATCCTCTTTGATCAAAAAACAAAACATAATGTGAACTTTGAATGTTATTTTGTTTGTCTATATTCCTTGATTTTGTTTCAGAGATACTGTGGTTAAGCTTAAGGTAACTTTATATATAAAGTCCGTCACTTCGTAGCATTAAAAAGTGTTTTTAGTTCCAGGAAGTCACATGACCTTATTTCTCCGACGTTGCAGGGTCTTAATACTGCTGAGATTGGTCTGGGTGGGTGGAACACATGGATAGATGAGGAGATATTAGAACATGATGAAGATGTCATGGGATCTGATGATGAAAATGATAAACAACAACTTGTTACAGGTATGTGTATATGCAGTTGTACCTAGTCTGCGATAGCAGACTGATCTCAGAGAGGGGGGGGGCTGAGATCAGTCTGCTATCGCAGACTAAGTTATACCAGATTGTTTGCAGTTACTTTTGGTGTAATTTTGTATCTTTTACTGTACATGAAACTGTAATAGGAAGAACTATATCTTATTTAACAAATGAACGTCGAATTCATTTATTTAATATCGACATTAATCTGAGCTCTAAATCTAAATTAAATCAATCCATAGTTCATAATGGCAGATCTATACTGAGCAACCCCAAGAGCCCGACTTGGTTGTCGTAGTACAAAACATTTTCTTTCATGTTTAGATGAAATTGTATTGTCTGGTGAGAGTAGCGAAGAAGATGAAAAGATTATGTTAACATCGTCGAATCTCACAGATTTCCAAGAAAAGTAAGATTATCACTCTGTGGTAATACAGCTAATTCAATTAGCCTTTTTTCACGACCGACATTTCCGCCCTTTTTTAGGGTATTGCCTCTCCCACGTTCGAGACTCTCCGCTCCACAAAATGCGACTTTTTAGTATTATAGTTGTTTGTTGTTTGAGGGCAGATAGTATCCCCAAAATGGCGGATTTGACCTTCGTGAGAAAGACTAATTAAGGTTGTCGTCTGGAAACTGCAAAACTCACAACCTCTAAGCTAGATGGACGTGTTAGCACGATCTAGTTCAGTTGTTATATTTTACTAATTATAGTTTTTATGTTGTCTAGATAGTGTGCTAATAAAGTGAATTTAAATCCCAAGGGAGTAAAGCATGTCCCGTAAACAACTTTCTTTAACGTTAAGAGCTTTAAAAATCCCATGAATTCTGCCGTGTTTACTACTGAATTGGGTTAGACGCCTTGTCACTATTTTAAATGATAGAATGTAGAGTTATTAAGTAACTTACAGGACTTTCAGAGGGAATTGAGTATAGAATCGATTTTACTAGTGTATAAAAACACTTATCAATATTCATATATTTATCGAATATATTTAATTGTAGTACGACTTTTCATTGTATAAAAATTATATACATATATGACAATTTTATTTGTGAAAATTTATGAGTATTTTCTTGCCAAATAGCAAACGTTTCAAGCAACAAATCACTATTCGCTCTAAAATATCACAAATTTCATGATCGACACTGTAATTCATTCTTACCTTGGTTCTATTCCCTTGTCTCAACCGTCGAGCTTTCCTTTCATTTTTCTTGAAATTTGCAATTTAATGACCAGAGTTGTTTCATCGTCGTAAATTAATAATTCCAGATGCCCTAACAACTGATTTTCACTCTTTACACATGGCCTTGTACTACGCTTGAGTTTGTTTTATCATTTTCCATTTTCACAAAATGGAAAGTTTCTGCGCGAGACTGAACACATTGCGCGTCTCTGTCAGTCAGTTATGATAAACTACATTATGACATCACAACGTTTTTGTAGCCTTCGCGAGAAAAAGGAATTGTGGGTAATTAATTAATTCAATGTCTGTGACGTCATTTAATGAAACAAGAATAAAAACTTGCGTAAACCGTTTTTTCACGGGGGGACTTTCAGTGTACGTGAAACGCATGTCATAACCAAAAGGTCGTTTGTTTGAGACAAAATATACACAACGAAATTCGTCATAGAGCAGAAATGCTATATTGTCTGGAACTCGGCCTGTTTTTTAACCGTGAGTTTTTTAATCCTTTTTTACTGAAATTTCACACACAATTTTAATTGTTTAAAAGCTTTAGACAATTTTAATTGCTTAAAAACTTAAAAGCTTCTTCTAGAGAGTGGTGCGCACTGCAAACTATCAAAATACGCAAATGATAAACTTTATATTCGAAAAAGTGCTGTGCTAATCCCTAGCTTGGCTGTTTTTACCAAATCAACGTTTTTTTGTCAACATAGCGATAATAATTTTGTTTTCTTTTATTTGAAGAAAAGTCACGAAAGAAACAGCCACAAAAGATGATATGAACGTGTCAAAAAACAAGAAAACAAAAAAGAAATAACTGTATCTCATAAATGAAATGAAACATACAGGGTTGTTGGCAGGGCGTCCTACATGTTGTTGACGTGCGAACGTTTACATGAGAATTTTGTCAACTGTAAAACAAGAGCTGTATGAAGTTGACAGGATATCACCACGCGTAGCAAAAACTCTCAAGGAAGCGCAAAGTTGATGAGAATAAGACCGGGGCTAAACAAAGCTATAATGTAATAGTTTCTGGTGGTATTACTTGTTCTTTTGTTTTCGTAAAAGGATGGGAAAATGCAAGTTATATAACTGCACAAGCCGAGCATAACCCGTAACATTTATCTGTAGATGGCAGATGCCTTGAAATAAGATATTTTTACTTAAAAGAATGGGGCTAAGCTGTCATCATCCCACCAAATGTGTATAACATTGACGTGATTTGGGACAGCATTTGATTTACCCGATTAACCGCTAGTCAAATCTGAACTGGGGCGTAGGAAGCATCAACAGATTGGGGGTGGGGGGGATAATGAAAAGGGCACCTTAAAATTTCCAGAAATAATACCGAGACAAAATCTAAATATACGAAGTGCCACAATACCAAGGTATTTTTTTGACCAGATTTGTTTTAAAAACATGGAAATTTCCAAACAAAAAGGGCACCTTTGATGTTAATATAGTATTTTCAGCGACATTAGTACAAAAAGGACTTCTCATCACAAAAAAGGGCACTTTTGATTTTTTGAAAAAATTGGGAGGGGGGGGGATGTACCGGGGAACGTGCCCCTGGTTTGTACGCCCCCTGAATCTGAATCCTCTATAAGGCCCGTTTGCACGTGCGATTTTCTTCTAATGGA